TAAGTTATGCATATTTTTAAATACAAATTTAATTTAAACAATTTCATATAAAAATTAATACATAACAATAAATTCATTACAAAAATACACTAATGAGCAGATGGCTAAACTATTTAACACAACAGTTATGTTATCATACAATTGGAATCTTAATTTTTGTACAGTACTTTTCAATATTTTCTAATTCTGTCCTTTTTCATTTAACCTCTTTCATTTTCCACCCACCCACACAAACAAAAGAATCCAACATCAGACTTATGTATAAAAAGTATCAAGTATATCTTTAGACGAACATTTAAGATATTTTTATGCTAAGAACAGGTATTAAAGTGTTATGTTTTCTCTTCATTTTTTATTAACAGACAACACAGGCCTGCGATGGTTTAACATCTTCAAACTTTTACATGTACTACTGTAATCCCTGTTCGCTGAATCCGAAAATTATATCCATTTTTCTCCATCACGTACAGAATTTTCCCAAAACGTCATAACGCAATACATGTAAGAAAGACCACAACACGTAGTTTTGAGGATAAAAGACGTAGATTTCACACACAAAAAATCAGGATGAATGAGGATGCATATTCGTTTGACATCAATGTTCTTTCCTTTTCTTCAATTTGTTTGTATTTTTGTTAAGAAACATAATGATAAAAATGTTCATTGTGGTAAACGAAATAATAATATAATCTAAGTAAGAGTTTTTTTTTCCTTCCCGATTTGTAAAATGTCCTTACCTGATAGAAAAAAAATAGAATATTATTTTCGAAATCTATGTAGCTGAATTATGGAAAGTCCGTTATTAAAACAAAAGAACTTTTATGAAGTTTGAATTCGCAGGCCTGTGTAATTTACATTTTCAATAGGTTATCTCATTACCTACAGCACTCCAAAAAAGTGAGTAACCAAGACCAGTTAATAGTACTGTTACGTCTGTGTTCAATTGTTAATGTTCCGTAGAAATTCTTTCTGTGAAGTTTCTGCGATACAAGTCCTTTCTTAAATAAAACTAGTTTATTCTTTTTCAATTCAACTTTGCAATACACTTAATTTCCATAGTCACTTTAACTTGAACACACGCTATAATTCACAACGACTCACGCACTTTACTTACAGTCACTACCGCTCACTTCACTCGATTAACTGTGTCTATATTTTCAATCTCTCTATCTGTTACTCCAGTTCTGATTAATCCCCTCCCGCTTTGATTGTCGGGCTTATATATTAAAATACAGCAAGTCTGGCAAACACTCGAGCCTTCACGAACCTTCTAGATACTCATTACGTGTTACCAACGTCATGTGACTTCCGCTGTCGTAACACTGCCCCTTCCTTAGTATTGCTCATCCCAAACAATAGCCACTTACATTAAACCAATAGAAAATTAACAATAACTTAATTAAATATATAGAATTTACAAATACAAAATTAAAATTCAACAAAGTCTCTTAATTTTACGGGACGTATCTTCTTCCGTACTGGTCTCCATCTCGTTGGCTTCTGCTTCACGTG